TCAACACAGATATGGGATTCGTTGTCATTCTTGGGGATCAGTTGGAGTGATGTCTGGAGTTATAAGTGATTTATTTACTGATATAGTGTTTAAAGTGTTATTTAAGAATAGATGTAATCAATAAAGTGGTCAACAATTGAAATGACATTTGAATCTCAGGTCTCGTAATCAATACATCGTAACAACAATTACAACAAATCTGCAAAACTATTAATTAAATTACATTTTTTGACCAAATTATGAGCTAATGGTAAAATGTTAAATGACCATGATCTAATTTAATTATAAGAAAATTAATTAAATAATTTAGTCTGTATTCAAAGTAAATATTTTATTATAATCCAAATGTTCACATAATTATAATAATCATAATTTCTATTTAAATGAATTGAATAATTAATTATAACATTATATAAACTAAATTCTTGAAACTTATAAATAACTGATTAATTATAATAATAGAAATAATACCCAAATTAAATGTGGAGGAATGGATCCCAAGTTAATTAACAAATCGTGTAATCAATAAATAATAATAGAATCAGCTTTTAGTATAAATGGCGTTATATTTGGGGAACTCATTAACCAATCCATCGAATCTAATATCGGGTCAGACACTGGTCTCAGCGGCGGTCAACCGGTGGGGACTGTGTCTGTCGGATGGCCTCTTTGAACGCCTGCCTTAGCCGCGAACCAAACATATCGTAACCACCGCTCGGGCCCTCACATTCAGATGAATGCACTCCAGAGATAGAAGAGTCGCTGTCTGTGTCTTCAGTTATCGGCGACTCTACGGGAGAACTGTTGACAACAAAACATATGCTAATTATAATAAGCGGTATATCATTGAAGCGAACGCTTACTAATTGTTGTCGACATTTGCCAAAGGATCTAATGATGGATCGCGACTATCATTGGCTTGTGATTGGCTATCCATTGGATCCAATGAAGTAGACCTCGAAATTACACTTTCGATCACTTCTGCGACCGTATCTCTGGTTGTCTTCGCCGATGAAATATGAGACAAACTTTCACTTCTTCTGGGAATCAAAACACCGGATCCGTTGTCAACGCACTGGTCATCGCAATCATCGATAGTTAGGCTGCGATTTGGGAACAAATCAAGTGATAAATTAAATGCTAAATTGTCTCAACGCTTACCACTCATTGACAACACAATTGCGCCTCTTTTGCTCGCAAGTGTTGTCCGCCGAAGAGTTGATCCAACGTTTGGCCGCAGGTTTTGCGCGGATTTCGATATAATCTCTGTCTCGAAGACAGTCGATGGATGTGTTGTCCCGAAGTAAACCACTTTCGAGATACAGACCGATATCATCAGCGGATCCACCGATTGATTCAGTGATGAGTATATGTTGTTTCAGATGACTCATTGTCTTCAAGTCGGTAGGGATTGGCAGCCAATAGTCCTCCACTTCTGGACACAACGTGTTCATCGACAGCAACACTAATATGGGATTCGTTGTCATTCTTGTGGATCAGATGGAGTGATGTCTTGAGTGACGCGTGAGTTGTTGTGTGGAAACTGTGTTTAAAGTGTTATTTAATAATCAATTAATGAATTGATTGTCAAAAAAGTGGTCAATAATTGAGAAGTCATTTCAATCTCTGATCTCTTAATCAATGCTAACGTTATTTATAGTCAAATCAATTTTAATGGCTTTCAAAGCATTAATTATTGACTCAAATACAATCAAAAACGTCAAACAATTAGCACTTTTGCCGACATCTGTGGTTAAAATAACAAATTAATTAAATTTAATTAAAAGCAATTAAAACTCTTGAAATATAAATTTAAACCAAATTAATAGTCTTATTTTAATGCTTTTCAATTAACAATTACAACATATTTGTAAAATGTTTAATTAAATCATTCAAACATTGTTTGACTACTCTTTGAGCCAAATTAGCATGGTCACATTTATTTAACAACTTTAAATAAAATCAATTAAATGTGTCGATCGTATTGAAAACTTTATTATAATTGTATAAATTTAACCAAATATTCACTTAATTATTATAAACTGTTATAACGTTATGAAAATAATAAATGAGTTACACCATGATTACAGTTATAGAACTTTAAATTATAAACTAATGCACAAAATAACATAATTTTAATAATTAGCGATAAATTAACCCCAATTTAGATGTGGAGGAATGGATCCCAACTTAATTAACAAATACTATAATCAATAAATAGTGAGAGATATTATAATATTGTGAATAGCGTTGTATTTCGAGAACTTATTAACCAATCAAACGGGTCCCATATCTGGCCAATCACTGGTCGCAGCGGCGATCACTTCATTGACACTGATATCGGTTGGAGTGTTATCCTTCTGACAGCCGGTCAACTCACGCACCTGTTGTTCCAACTCATGGCACCGACGGGTCTCACAATCTAATCTGGCGGTCAAGTGGTCCCTCTCATTGATCACCAGTGCCTTAACGAGCGACACATCGGTCAACTCGCGGCTCTTCAGCGCCAACTTCGCCGCCGACATCACTTTGTCGGCCAGCAGTCGCCGTATCTGTCGCTCCAAACGCCGGCACCTGTCGTTCCGGGCGTTCAACTCGCGGTACGGCTCCGTCAGTCTCACCACCTTTTGTCGATAATATCGCAACAATTTCTGCATTTTAGACACTTTTTCCGCCAATTCGTCCCTCATTTCGTAGGCCTCGAGGTTGATGTCCGTCAGAGCGTTCACCCGATCGGTCAGTTCGCGGCCCTCTCGGGCGCACCTCATCTCCCAATACAGTGTGTCTGATCTGAGATGGATGTTCTCCTCCGCCAGACGTATCTTCTCGCCCGTCAACGCGTGGATCTGCTCGCGGAGGTCGTGATGGTTGTCCGTCGATGATAGGCCTCTAACATAGGCCGCGAGTGCTACGGACTCCTCATCCCATTGGGCCGACCCATCACTGGCCCCAACTGTTGCTACGGCTGGCGATGAGAGTCCGTAAGACATATCTCTATTTGTAATTAAATGATTGGTAATTAGTTTACATTTAATTAATGTTTTAATTAGATAATTACTAAATCATTTGTAAAATTAATAAAAATTAATATAAATTTATTAAAAAACGTTAGTTTTAATTGTATTTCAAAGCATTTTCTACCCGATTGTGTCACTACATGTGCGCCACTATTGCCGCACACATAGCGATCATTATATCCAATGATGAAACAAATACTCACTGATTGGCCGCCAAAGCTGTGGAGGAATACGATGGTGACCTCAAATCAATGGCAATCGGTTTGCCATACAATGGATTACCAGTTGGCATGTAATCCATTACCAAGTGCTTATTGTTTGTCCAATTGGTGCCGCCGTAAGAATGGTCGTGAGTGATGTCCATCCCTTTTGCCGAGCGTTCGTTACCCGATTGTGTGACCACTTTGTCGCCACTATTGGATACAAATTGGTAATCATTATATCTAACAGTAGATAATGACTCAAATGCCTCACCGATAAGCGGCCAATGGTGTGGAAGTGTTCGGTTGTGACGGCAAATCGTATACCGTTTCGCAGTACGCAGTACTCCAGTACGAGTGATACATGTCCTTATCGGTGGACTCGTCCGCACCGGTCGGACAGATGGGAGAACTCGGACTATAGGGCGAATCGCGTGAGGTCTGAGATTCAAGTTCAGTGACTTCTTGGGTCGACTCCACGGGAGAACTGTTGACAACAAAACAAATGGCAGTTATTATAGGAAGTGGTTTATCATTAAATCAAACGCTTACTAATTGTTGGCGAGAGATGTGGAGGAATCTACTGATGGATTGAGATGACCGCTGGCTTGTGATTGGCTATTAATTAGTGGATCAAATATGTGATACCTCTTAATCTCATCGATTAATTCTTCGGTTGTTTTTGCAGATGAATTATTGGACAAACTTTGAGTCCTTTTAAGAGCCGATACATCAGATCCGTTGTCAACCAAATCGTCGTCGGAATCATCGATAGTTATGCTAAGAATACATGGAAACAAATCAAGTGATAAACCAAACCATAAATTATCTCAACACTTACCACTCAGTGTCAGAACTTTTACATCTCTCGTGATCCGAAGTGTTGTCCGCCAAAGAGCTGATCCAACATTTGACACGCATTTCAATATAATCTCTGTTTTTAATACCAGCGATGGATATGTAGTCCCGAAGTAAAGCACTTTCGAGATATAGACCGATATCATCGGCGGATCTATCGATTGATTCAGTGATCAGTATATGGCGTTTGAGATCATCGATGGTCTTCACTGTCGGTGGTATTGGCAGCCAATAGTCCTCCACTTCCGGACACAACGTGTTCATTGATATCAACACTAATATAGGATTCGTTGTCATTCTTATGGATCAGTTGGAGTGATGTCTTGAGTGAGGCGTGAGTTGTTGTGTGGAGACTGTGTTTAAAGTGTTATTTAATAATCAATTAATGAATTGATTGTCAAAAAAGTGGTCAATAATTGAGAAGTCATTTTGAAACTCATGTCTTGTAATCAATGCTAACGTTGTTTATAGTGAAACAGTTTGACTCAAACCCATTGTTGACAACTGTTTACACTTTCACTGCATTAATCATTGACTCAAATGCCATCAAAAACGTCAAACAACTATTACTTTTACCCTTATTTGCCGATATCTGTGGTTAAGATTACAAATTAATTAAATCTAATTTAAAAAGCAATTAAAACTTTCTAATTGTGAATTGTAATAAAAGTAATGGTTTTATTTTAAGCACAATTTGTGCTAAACATGCTTTACATCTAATAATCAAAAAACTAATACATTAGAAGTTCTAATAAACTATAAAATTTACAATTAACTAAACTATTAGAAACTAGTATTTAATTATATAATAAAAGTATGAAAATAATGAATCGAAACATCGATAAAAATTAATAATGATATTAGATGTGGAGGAATGGATCCCAAAACCAGATCCACTGATTATTAACGGCAAACAAAATCGAAATCAGGTCTTATTGTGAAGCTTCAGGTGCTTATTGACACTACCGTTGGATTTGCTACGAAACGCGCAGCCGGTGTGCGAGCATTCAATCCACGGCACGTCTGGGCACTCATTGGGATGCACTCGGAGGTGATGTTCAGTCAATCCTTTGCGTTGTTTAAACCCTTTGCCGCAGCCATTGATCGCACATTTCCACAGACCGTCGGTGACGGCGGCGGCGCTGTTATGGCCGGACTGGTGGTCAGCGAAGTCGGCAGCGCTGCGGGTCTTGTAGTCACAGTCTTGTAGTTCGCACCGCATTTTTTGGCCACTCTTTGGCCGATTGTCACCACCACTGGCGCTATCATTGGACGCAACGGTTCCGGACCCGTCGTCATCGACCTTCTCTTTGTCGGCCGCCATCGGTTCAGTCTTTGTCTCGACCGCCGGTTCATTGGTCACCAGTTTCTGCAGTTTGTGTTTCCGTTTAATCTTTGGTTTCCGAGTCTCCGCTTTCATCACCACTATGTCTGCCGATGCAGTGGTCGGCGATTCGTCTCCGGAACTGATGACCACAAGAATCGCAATTATAAGACAATTATACAATTAAAAACCACAAATAGTGTCACCAATTGTTGTCCAGCGATGGGCGGCGACTGTCAACGAGACCACTGCTGGTCACCACCGGTTGATCACCGACTCTGAGCTCTGAATCGCTGACCAACTCTTGGCTCCGATTGGCCGCCACTATAGACTTCTTGGACCGTTTGGTCGGCCGTCGATCAGCCGTTCGCCGACTATCATCACCGGTGTGTCCGACAGCGCTGTCCGGCGAGTCTTCGCTATGATCTCTGTGTGGGGAACAACTGGAGTGACAATCATATCATAACAAGTAATGGACAAACCGTTCGGCAATTGTCAACAAAGTCTTCCGCTTCTTATCACCGGAAGTGTTGGCCAATGAGTTGATCCGCTGTTTATGGTGTCCATCGGCGGCGGCGGCGGTTGTCTTGAGCCGCAACTCAATGCGATCTCTATCTCTCAGGACTTCGGCGACGGATGTGTCGCCGTGAAGAAGATCGGCGAACAGATACAGCTCAACGTCATCGATGTCTCTGTCGATGGACTTTTTGGTGAGTATATGTCGGATAAGGCCATCGATGGTCACCACTTCGGCCGGTATTGGCAACCAGTGGTCCTTCACTTCTGGACGCACTGTCTTCACCGACAACACCACTCGTGACAATGACTTCGACGGCATTTCTCTTCCAGTGATTGAAATCACTAACGGATTGATCCGATCGTCGATTTGATCCCAAGAAGTTGTAAACAATTGATTCAATGAATGAAATGATTTAAATCAAAATCCGTTACATTTGAGGGTTTGTGTTGACTGTTGTTCACAAACAACGTTACGTTAAATACCAATGTTTTCTATAATACCCCCAAATGTAATGTTAATTAAGTTGTAATTGTTTTTAATTTGTAATTTAATTAGAAATTTGAAAATAATAAAAATTAAATTAGCATAATATAAATTATATAAATTTAATCAAGATTAATCGCTGCAGTGTAAATGTATTGAATTGTATTAAATTAAACACTAGTTTAGTACGAGTTATATAATAATTTTATTAAATTAAAAGTTTTAATTTTAACTTATTTAAAAAATTAGTTAAAATTATAATTAAAAATATAGGTTAAATCAATCATGATTTAAACGATAACATTGTTGAATTGTTGTTTAAAATCAGTTTAATTTAAATTTAACGGTTGTGTTAACGCAAATGTAATTGAAATTAAATACAAAACATTATCTGAATTTAAACTTAATTATCAGTTAAGATATAAATACTTTTTCACACAATGTTTGCCACAAAACACATTATCATTGCATTCTTCGGCGGTATTAACACAGACTAAACACAACCCAAAATCTATTACAATCTAATTTCTATTACAAAACTTTCTCAACAGTACTTTTAGCGGATCAGTCGGTGACAAAGCCGGCGGCCATCGAAACCAAGTTTGTATTAAACGCCGACATCTGCCACAAGACAGTCAACGGACTCATTGACACCGCTTTTATCGGAGACGAGAGCGCATCAAAGTATTACGCGTTGAAGGGCTCGTATGCGTGGCTATTGACGGCCGATCTGACGGGTGTTGTCCACCGGAACGGCACTCTAGTCAGCCAACTCTGGCCGTCCAGTTATAACACGTCGGGCTATAATCTACACAACGTTGCCATCGCTATCGCAATCTACGACATCGGAGAGTCCTACATCTACTTTATCACTGTATCCATACATTTATCAATACCGCATCATTACTCCCATCATCACTAATATATCAATCATTGCATTCCTCCTCAGCTACGGCCCAAACCGATCACGTGGTATAGTTTCTCTGTAAATTGGTTTGTGTACAGAACGGCTACGGGTGAACTGCCGCTCAAAGGCATCGATGATAATACGGTCACATATAATAACATTTTTGGCAGAGCCGAAGACCTGTACGACGTGTTGTTCATCGACCAGAAGCAGTCGCCCGACGGCATTGTCAACCGTACGTACCGTTGGATTGACTTTGAAAAGCCGGCAAATCTAAAGGAGATGAGCGATAATCTCTCGATACCACAGTTTGTGGTCGATGTGAGCGACAAGTTTTGGATTATCTCTATTCTAGAAATCGGCAAAAAAAAGGCATTATATTTCTCAAGTATAAAGAGTTTGGGTTTTACTGTTATTTTAAAGATAACACTACTGTAAGTCTCTCTCTCTCTCTCTCTCTCTCTCTCTCTCGTAATAATTATCTAATTTATGAAAATTGTCTTTTAGTGCAAATCTGAGAGTGATATCAAACCAACAGTGAATTTGTTTGGATGTCATAACCAAACAGTGGATCCGTTTGTAATCAAAGAGTTGACGACAACTGTTGAAACAAATTCAGCGATAATTGATTTCATTTTCGTAAAGTTGTACACATTTCTAGTCATTCTCTTAATTATAGCCATATTCTTGTCATTCATATGCTATCCATTCTTCAGCGGTTTAATTACCATATTCTCCACTAAATCGCAAAACATTTAACTTTTATTATAAAACTTGTGAACCATATTAAATATAATACTAAAACAATAAATTGATTAATACTTGCATTTGTGGTGTTTTTTGATTATTTTTTATTTTATTAATTGCAAAAATCATTACAAAAATTGTCAGATCATAGAATAATTAAAATGTAAATTCAGATAATTATCATAAAAAAGCTCAATGTTTAATCAATACAACTCATTAAGTATTTGCATTAATTATTAAATGTTTAATTGTAGTTAACATCAAGTGTTTAATAAATTTACCATAAAATTATACCATATAATTAAATAACTATAAATTGTCATAGATTATAAAATTGATATTTAATTATCACATAAGACTACACCATATCATAGGCTGTCTTGGATTTATAGTCAATTACTGAAGCACTTTATGGATAACAAATCAGCGATAAAATTATGGTTAATAAAAAAAATTATACGTTATAATTAATAGTAATTATTGAGATAATAGACTAAATTAATTGTGATCATCATATTTTAGTGGCTTTAGATATACAGCAAATTCCTATTTACCACTCGGTATTTGTTGGGAATCAGCCGTACATTCTGTGACCAAATAATTATTTGAGAAATTTTCTGTTTTATGAATAAATCAATGAAAAAAATAGTTATAAATCAAATTATAGAAATTAATAATAAATGAATATTCATTATAAGAGTAATTAATAATTAATTTTCAATCGATATAAAAATAAACACAAAACTAATGGGTTTTATGCATAATATGGCAACAAAACCACATTTTCGTGGACCACAACTTTGCCGTTTAAGAGCGCAATGTTGGCCGACTCGCGGGCCCGCTTCTGGTCGGCGGTCTCGTCTTTGACCCGCGGCTGAAACGCTAGGTTCTGGGCCTCGATGTGGTCTTTGGCACGAGTGGCCACCAAATCGGCGTAAGCGACGGGCATTGGTATAGATATGGGTGACGTACACCTGCAGTATGTATAGCACATGTGATACGCTATCTGTTGCCTCTGGTCTTCGGTCAACTGGTGGTCGTCGCGAAGGCACACATACTTCGCGTGACGTGACGTACCCTACGGTGCGATAAAACACATGATTATAGTTACAATTCAATGGAAACACACAGTCAGTGGCCGTAAGACCATTAACCAGGTCTATGACTATGGGATCAGATAGTATACTCACGAGTAGACCTTTGTGTGAACACAGATGGAACTCATTGCGCAGCGGGTGTGTGACAGTGTGGTCGACAACAGTTCCGGCGGGTATATTACGAACCTCTCGACCCTTGGCATCGGTGGTGCGCGCGAATGGCATAAACCTCGTGTGGTGTCTCTTCTGAACCACAAACACTATTAGCTTAAACGCAAAGCCCTTCTGCATAGTGTCGTAAGCCTTTTTAATAAGCGGTATCTCTTCGGCTAAGACCTGATCCAATTGGCCGTCAGACACGCCGTCGCGGAATAGTATCACAGTCTGCGGCAACACTTTATTCTTCTCCTTATATGTCTTGAGGTGTTGGACAAACATACGGTCGTAAGCGGCAATTATCTCCGTATTCAACGGTTGTCCGGCAATAGTCGCGCCGTATTTACTAAACTCGGCGTCAAAACTGGCCACAGAGGCTGCGATGGACGAGCACACGGGTCCGTCGCCCATAGGGCCGGGCCCGGGATGGGTCACGTCGACGCCCACAACCATTACGGCCCGCTTTTGGTCACCAATCATAGCGGGCGGTCTGTGCAGTGCGGCCAACACCTGATTCTGGCCGCCAATCTTGGCGTTCACTTTCAACAATAGATTACCGAAATAGCCGTTCGGCGTGTCTAAGAAACGCGAGTCAAGTATGCATTGTGTGGCCACTCCGTAGACAACATCGCCGAAGTGTTTGATCGCTCGGTAAACGCGGCCGTCCTTTGGTATCACGAAGAATATCATTTCAACCTTTTGGGCTTTGAATGCCTTAATGTCGTCGTCGACCGCTTTTAGTGACGGTCTGTGCGACTCACTGTCGGCAATCGCTTTATCGGCCACAACGATACCCATTAACCTTCCCGTACGGATCAGTTCCGGGAAGAATCGTTTGTAATTCTCTTGCAGAGTGTCTTTGACATTCACCGAGTAGTTGACAACCGCGTAACGAGACAATTGGCGGCCATTTTTCACCCGCCGCTGATCGCCCTCCAGTCGGGGCGCCGGCAGTACACGACCGGTCAGTTTAATCGGCTTTAACTGCAACTCAACGCCAAAGCTGGCCATCAGTGCGCGACTTTCTTTCTCGACCTCTTCGGCCGACTGTTGTATTAAACCGAAGCGAGTGCTCGGGTCCTGACTGTTGGCGCTTTTGACGATCTGTTGTGTCATATCGGGCGTAACCATACGGCGCGGCATCGGCTGATTCGGGTATACGTGACACACGTCTACCGGTAAGTACTTCTCACCCCTGGCCTTAATGAGGCCCACATTGCGTAACAGCGCCCGAGTGTTTGGGTATTGTTTCTTGAAGTAGTCCTCGACGGTAATGGGGTTGCCGTTGGAGTCGTCGAAACTGTGTTCGTGTACTCTCTGGACAATCATCGACTCAATAAAGTAGCGGCGCTTTTGATTTGGTATGTGATCCGTGTATATCTTGAGGCCTGCGAACGTGTATAACGTAATTACTGATCAACTGATCCATAGATGTAAAACAGTTGGCAACACAAACCTTTGATCTTTGCGGTCACTCTATGGATCACGTCGTCGGTGAATGGCTGGCGCGCAATGTCCGGTATATTGAGCTCACGCTCTATGAACGCAATGAGTGGACCGCCGGTCACGAAGAGAGTCGCTGTGCGGTCGACGTTGAGAGTGAGTCCCGATTCGGTCACGTGAACGGACTGGTAGTGACCGAACGCTATCTCAGCATTGGTGGCCACTGCCGGCCGAAAGCCACGAGTTATCGGTTCACGGCCTTCGAGTGTGTATAAATTCCGATACACCGGGACTCGGGTGAGGGATGGCATATACCGGAAGGCAATCTCCAGCGCCTGCAGGGCTTCGCGGAAGTCCTCCGGGTTTTGCGTACGGTTACGGCCGTTGAAATACTCGGCCAGTGGCGCCATTGGCACCTCTTTCACGAATTGGATCCGCACCTCAAACGTCTGCTCAACGAATCCGTCCAATTGAATGGTCACTTC